GGCACCTTGTTAATTTTTTTNGTCGCGTGGAATAAAGAAGTACCACTAATCCAATACCTGACAACAAGCAGCACATTTTGATGGCATTCGGAAGAGATTATGATAATAAATTACTACTGAAGGAGATCTAAAGAAATTTAGCATTATCAATCAGAGTAATAAATACATTAAGACAGTTTATCTAGATGTGTATAAGAGACAGACATTATCTTCTTATTTTTTTTTTGTTCACCAAAATGAAATTGCCGCTCCGTGGCACCCGTTTTCAGTCAATCGACTCAAATTCAGATAAAACAGAATTTGCCCTCACAAAAAGTACTTATGAAGAGTATTTCAACGACTGGAAAAATCGTTGGCATAAATATACGAGTATTATTGAACTGATGGGGGTAACTATGAAGGTAAAAAACATAAATATTGATGAATAATTAAATATTTCCTGGTAATAGACGTGATTTGATAAAAAAAAAAATATGGCTCCTCAAAATATGAAATAAATACTTCAGATTTTCACCCAACACAAGCAGCAAATACGCAATAATGCAGTTAGTAGAAACAAGTGTTCGTTGAATGGTAGGCACACCAAATATAATATAAAGCAAAGCAGACAATTTTCCAATTTAAGAACGTCAAAAAACTTCTTAACTCCAATGTATGGTATTTCGTTACTAGGTTAAGATAGAAAAAATGCATTGAAATGATATACCTACTATATAAATGTAGTGAAAATTACTGACTTACACCCACTTTGATAATATTGATTAGTCAGTTTGAGGATCCGTTTTGTTTTTTGCTATTAATTTTATTTTATTATAGTTAGAAGCAATTTTCTGCCGCCTTTTCGTTCAACATTTTTTACGACTTTATTCGCTCAACACGCACTTGCTGCTCAATTTTATCGGCTTGCAACGTTGCTAAAACTTACTATATCCACCAGCGCATAATTGACGGTTGCATGTCCTTTTGTGTGGTCATCGTCGTGGTTTTTCAATTTATCCATTAGAGTTTGGAGAAAATTAGAACAAAGTGACAAGAAACAACGTGGTAGTTGCTGCTTGTGTTGTTGTTGCTGTTGTTACTGAACTGTTAGATATTTGTTATTTGTTCAGTATTTTGATGTTCGTGTTTTTATCATTCTTCCTTTGTCTCCGTTAAATAACATTGTGGTAAAACTTTTAGGAAATCACGTTTAGATGAAAAGTAAATTTACTGTGCGCAGTTTTGACCATGACTTTAAGGATGACACGCTCTCCTCAACGGTGAATAAGAACAGCGGTAACCACAAAAGTACAGCTATCAATGACTTTTACTCGATTCATTTATACTTTTTGTGGTTTTGTTTAACACGGCGACAAAATTCCGTAATACCTGCAACAACAACATCGTCTTGCTATTAAAACTCGAAAAGACAAGTATTGGAGACGAAGAAGAAGATGAAATTACCTCGGGGTGTTAATGCAAAGTGCTTTTCCCGTTTCGAATCACCACTTTAATGACCGACTAAAAATGGCCAAGCCGAAATATTAGAGCCATTACCAATTCCAAAAAGCAAGTTCATAAGCAAATAAAAAAGTGATGTTGGAATATTAAATAAAACGAGTGCTGTGTTCATTGTAAGGTATAATAAATAAAAGTGAAATACGAAACTGCATTCTAATGAGTCATGTCTAAACTTCAGCGCTGTTGTTGTTTGCTTTACAACAGACATACCTGGAAATTACTGCGACCACTTGCCTTTTTCGGCTAAGTAAATCATCAAATGAAATTTTTTATATCGAAGGTTAAGACAACTTATAAATCATGATAAATTAATAGAAAACTCTCTAGCTAGACCAATATTTTTCTACCGCTGAATGGCACATTTATAGACTCTGCCCAATCGCTCATATAACTGCTAGGCGCTCGGTCACTCTTTTCCTTCTAGCTTCGAAAATATTTCAAATCCCCATTTAATACTTTGGGACATATTCTTAGATTATTTTAAAGAGATTTAAGCAAACAAAAAATTAGATTTTCTGCAGTTTCTACATCAAGCTCCCCCCTTAAACACTTGGGAGCGCATATCTTAAGACATCTCACCTTCTAGGCGAGAATAGAAACTATACGTTAATTTGTATTGCCTACTAAGTGTTCTGCTAATTTATAGGTTCGAACACAGGACTTCTTCTTTTTTATGGCTTCACCAAGGATCACGTAAAGCACTACACATGCGATCTCTTTAGATCAGCCATTTAACCTTACCTAACATAACTCTCTAGGCAATCGAACAAACTTGTTGCGCAAACAAACGGGTATGGTGCGTTGTGAAAATACATGTTATGATTCTTTTATAATAGAGAAGTTATAATTTTCTTTAAAAAAATCGTTGCCATCTTTTTTTTTTATTTCTGCTTCTATATTGAAATAAATTAATTCGAATTCACCAAAAGCAATCAGTAAAGTTGTCAAAAAATTTTCCGACGTCTATGCCATTATCATACTTCCGAGAAAGAATTTTAGTAATTTCCGTTAAATTATCTTTTGGATATGGTTTTCCTTATTTCGCTCCTGCTCACCAAATAACAACTTATCCAGGCGAAAGAAAAGAAGCTTTCAACTGCGCAAGATACCGTAAATGAAGGTTAGAAACGTAAAATTTTCTGTAATGAACACTAAAAGCAAGTACCACTATACTCATCTCAAATTTGGAAATATTTATGTAAGTTTCGGGGATTGAGAATAAATATTCTTCCGCTAATGATTGCCAACAAGTACAAAATAAATACTTATTTAGAAATTTTAGTGCTTTGTCACGTACGATACTTTTAATCTAAATTAGAAGATTTACACCAGAGTAATGGCACGTGACGTGGCAAGCTTTGAATATTTAATCAAATTCAAAGGAATCAGTAATATTCAGAGATTTTATATTTAACAAGGAGATCCTTTTATTGTTTTATGATTTAAAAGCTTAATCGAAATACTTATGGCAACTTAAAAGCCTTGTTAGTAAAGATTTGAGATCACTTAGATCACTGCAAGGCTACGCCATCTGAAATCCTTAAACACTTTGATTTCACACCAAAATACTTGAATTATCAGATCGCTGAGTCTAGTCACGACTACTGTTGCCTTGGAGAGAGCCATGGGAGGAAAAGACTCACTACAAGAAAAAGGTGGTGAGATTATTTACGAATGAATTAAAGCATGATTTTTACCAGCTCCAGTTTTAAGCTTCCTGCAGTGGTCAGCGACTTCCAAGCGGACATGAAATAGCAGAAATAGAAATAAAACTTCTAAGCACATTTATGATGAAGTCGTATCACCATTTGCTGAAATCAAACTAAAGGAGTTTTTCGTCTGTGTTCGCAAAAATACTGAACATAATAGTCTAAGAGTGATGTATCCACCATACTTTTGGGATTAGCCACGTAACCTAATCTAACCAACATATAGCATCAATATTAACATTTTTTCATACCCGAAACTGAATATGGAGATGCGTTCCGTAATATTAAAAAAAAAAATCAGTAATAGTTTGTGGTACTTAGATTAAAAACGTTATATTATTTTTTAAACTAAAACTTTCTATTAAATTTGTTTAATCTAAATTCTCAATAACGGTTTTGAGATAGTATAAGGGTTCGATTTTATTACAGGAAAGTGAAAACGTGAATTGAATTTCCGAATTGGAACCTTCGAGATTGCACCTTATAGTATTTGCTGCTATCTTACAATCGCATAACTGAGAGCGAATGAACCGTTAATGGTTGGCAACTTTCTTGGACTATACTCTGTAGATATTAGCATTTAAATGTAAACCATTTACTTGAAGTGAAGGAGCCACCCTAAAAAATAAATATTTATATATGTTTAAAGAGTTTCCTAGTTGCCCTAGGTCAGACGTACTTTGAACGGGTCATAAAAAGTTGACTTCTTCCCTAAGGCCTGGAATTGTGTCAACAACTCCAAGAGATACCCATTCAAATTTCTGGTGCATAAATAGAATTACTTCGGACAACAGATGGCGGGTCAGCAATAATGCTAGTGTACCATGAGTTATAACAGAGCATAATGTTGTGATCCACTTAAATTTTTCAAAGCTACTTGTCAATAAAAGATTATGTGATGATAAATATATTATAAGGAAAGAATTGCCAACGAGCCATTTGGCAGGCATTGAAAAGATAGACCGTGAAACATTCAAGTCATTCTCGCTAGGGATAACTGTAAAGAAAGAAAAAGAACATGAACGACGAAGCTCTGCAAAGTAAAAGTAAACAAAAACAATAAAAAAAAAGAAATTGAAATTCTAACAGCTACGGCCTTCACCACGCAACTGCTAAGATAAAGAACCTTGTAGCGGATTCGCCGCAAATGAGCGCCTTATTCCTGCCATTCCGGAGAAATTCTGTTCGCTTGAAATTCGTTAACGTATGTAGTTCATCGATACGCTCTTTTATTTGCTCACGCATTTCTGTTAGTTTCTCTCGACGTCGTTTTGTTGCTAAAGGAGAAACGAGGCAAGAGAGCGCCTAGTCTCAATTATCAACTGTATGGCAACGCTTTCCGCGCTCAATTGCACTCAACTAGTAACACCACATATACTTAACAACAATGACAATAACAACAAAAATAACGATTCGCGACAACAAACGGTTTGTTTATGTTTTGGCCGCTGCTGAAGCTGCGTCTCACCGGCTGCCGTATTGCGCTCTTCGCTGCTCAACCGAGTTGCTGCATAAACTGCTGCGTCGCCATCCAACTCAACTTTGCTGGGACAAACGACCTACAGTGGCAGAGACAGTAGCAGAAAAAGCAACTGTAACATCCCACAGACATCAGCAGTGACAGCAACAGTAGCAGAGACAGCGACATTGCCTCTGTCACAGCTCTGACTGCAGCAGCGACAGAGGTACTAGCTGTCGATGGCTGGTCGTGCATGAATGGAAGCACTCGCCAATCGTTAAATTTGTTTGCTTTCAGTCTTATTCTGTTGCCGGACGTGTGTAGAACTTACGATCGGAAAATATTCTGTTTGTGACAAGTACGGTTGTATTATAAAAAGAAGAAGCAGAGAACTTGTACTTGAAAACCTCGGTTGGACGTTACTCATTCGACGCGTCGTACGACAATTTCAAATCGACCGCGTTACGCGCTGGTGCTTAGTTGCGGATTGGGCGTTAAATTTTAATTGAATTTTAATTTGCGATCTTTTATGAGTTTTTCGCGTTAATTGAGTACAATGATGAAGTGGCCAACCGAATGCTGCTTTTGTGGAATTATCTAAATTTGCCTTAACGCAATATTTACGGCTCGATTATTGTGCTTGCGCTTAAAACAAAAGTGCTGAAAATTTAAATTTGAAACAGGTTAGTAGCTGCTGATGAAGCTGAATGAAATATAGGGTTGTTTTTGTGCTGTTTGCGCCATTTTTGGCGTTAATTTGGATAAATGTGGAATTCATGTGGCCGAATGGAAGCAGTAAAGTGGAAAATGTGAAGCCTCTGAATGAAGTGGGAATGAATTCAATTTGACAAAAAATTCTGAAAAAATATGGTGCGTAAAATAGTTACGAGTACTAAATTATAAGATAGAAATTTTATTAAAAAATCTTTATATTGCAAAAAATAAGTTGAGTATTTATTTTTAAAGTGTGTAAAAATATTTGTTTTCAATTAAAAATTAAATAAAATGAAGGTACTTCCAAGCTGCATCCATAATATGTAGATTTGAAAATACAAAAAAAACGGAATTTTTTGAGAAAGTAAAAATAATGTATATAAATAACCAAAATGGTAAATGGTTAAAATAAGGTTACTTCAGGGCATATATACAGCCATGAATATATGTACATGCAGAGTTGGCAAAACAAAATTTTTGGACAATTTTTTACCGATGTTATAACCAAAATGCTAATGGAAATCTAATAAGTGATGTTAAGAAAATTAGAATCTGTTTAATACAAGATGTTGTGCGCAGCAGAACAGTAAGCATTTGGAAAAACCATACAAGAAAAATTTGAAATAATTTTACGCATTAACCATGCACATAAAACCGTATATAAATACTATATTATGTGAAAAGTGCTTAAATAAGTCCGAAAATTTAAACAAAGCATTGAAAGTTTTAATAATTAGTGCGATAGAATTTTTCATTTGAGAAATCAAAAATAATTTTCGTACCAGCAAAGCTCTGGGTGTTATAATTAAAATGCTACATAATTATTAATTAATTAAGGAATAATATTAATTTACTAGTTCAATAATTAAAGAGAGTAATTGGAGGATGGAGTCATGTGTAGAAGTTCACGCAAGTGAGGAAAGTTTTCTGATCGCCATTCACGTGGGAGTGGCCAGAAACGATTCTTTTACATATGACTCAAGCAGCTCACGACTTCCGGTCTTTGACCAAGTATCCTCTGGGTAGCCTAAGAACATCCGTTCGAAGGTGAGCTAAAGTGAGAAGGCGAAACATTCCCTGCATAGGGTTGTGCGCTGGGTTTGGGACCCGCCACGTAAAAAAACCACCCCAATGAAAACGCAACAACAGCCTCGGATGAGAGACCCCACTTTTGATAAGAAACGACTGGCGCGCTGTTGTTAACTCGGCTATAATCGCGTAAGCGGTGACTACGCCAATCAAGAAGAAGAAGAATTAATTAATTTCGTGTTGTGAAATGACATATAAACAAATATTTATAAGTGTTCAAAACATAAGAAAGTATTTTCGAAAATTTCTTCATTTCTCCTGTTTTGATGGACGATACATTTTGTCACTAATTATTAGTAGACGGTGAGTGCAATATCAATTTATTTTAATCCAAAGTAATCAACAAAGTATTTGAGATAAAAATCTAAATGACAACAAAAACTTTTAGTATTTTTTAAATGCCGTTTTAAAAGTGCTAATTGCTAACTAAAAAGCTTTAAATTAATATGATCAAAAAGATATAAAAATTAAAATGTCTTTGAGCAAATTTTTCATTTAATTGAATTCTTCAACACTTTTAACGAATGGTGTTCGCCACTCTACTTAACTGTTTGTTTGCTTGTGTGCAATTGAACGCTGCTTAATCACGGCATTTGCTCTCATTGTTTGACGTTAGGTTGACAGATTTAACGCGCAACTTGAAAACATTGACTACGAAAACTTAAACTTGACTAAGTGGGTGCCTTGCTGTATGTATATGTATACCTGATAATCCCAATCCATTCGTGGTCAATGTGCGATAATTTGCTATGATAAGATCAACTTGGCTAAGAAAAATATTAGAAATCTGTTTTCGTAGCCTTATCGGTTCTTGACTAGTACATATCGTCACCTGAAATGCAAAATAACGTATCGTCAAAAAATTCGAAATTGAGTGTCTTATTGATTACGCTTCACTACTTCAAATTACATACATAATATTACTTATGCTCAACAATTTCAGCTTCTGCGCTCTTATATAATAATATAAACCAGTTTTAGCCAACATTATTTTTTTTTTCCACTCATTTTACGTTTTATTTCGTGCTTCATTCATGGTACTGTAAATTTCCGAAAATGTTGTTACGTTATTTTGCACTTCAGATGACGACATGTCTACTAACTACCTAAGTGTACTGGCTGTGTTAGTGGACACTTTCATTCATTTGTTGCAGTTATTAGCATTGATTTTGCTTTGGTTTAGACATCTGGGAGATAATTTGAAAATCTGTAATTTGTTAGAATATTCTTGAGATTGCAAGTTCGAGTGTGAAACTAGAGTTCGTTGAATCCAAAGAAATTGTGTAACAACAATCATATTATTAAAGATTGGCGAGATAGCAAATTTGATCAGCTAAAGTCAATATTATATGTATACTGGCCATAGCTTTTAATCTAAGCAAATTTTCTCCGCAAAAGTTACATACACGTTGTGGATGTAACTCGAAAATGGTTAGAGAATTTAAGATATATATACTAAATTAAGTTGAAGATGGATTAACAGATAATTATAAATTAAATATTAAAAAAAAAAACAAGACAAATAACATTAACAAATTATATTAAGCCGCGAAACATCCTAAATTCACTGAACTAAAGTGACCACTTTCAGCTTAATAGCACACATATACACACACAGGAGTTAATTGATTAATTAACCAGCTTTGCTCGATTAAAGCACTAATTTAGAACAATTTACCATGCAAAATAAAAATTAAATTTTACTACATTAGATTTTAATCGAATTGAAATTGAATTCAAACTGGAATGCTACTGCAAGCTCTTGTCCACACTATGAAATTGGCTGTGTTTAACTCTACTGGTTGCTGTCCAGACTATGAATTTGGTTGTGTGCATTGATAAATTAGCAATAAGCTAATGACCTTTAATCAGTTGAATGAATACAAAATGCAGAACACAAGCAAATATTATTAACGATCAGCTAATTGAGTAGCAGGTGCGCAAAAAAAAAACACTAGTTTCTCAATAATATTCCTAACGAACGAAATTAATTTATCTTTGCAAAATGCTTTTGCTATGTAATATTTGTATTTACTTTGTTTGTTAGCTAAGAGATTACTGTCAAAATATGCTTTTCTTAACCGCACAGGTTGAGAATCACACTAAGTTCATTGTGGCATCACTATTTGTCAACAAAAGTACCACTGGCTGTACAGATCATTTCAGTTCAATAGAAGCATCTGCGTCAATGCCACTAAGCGCTTTTCCAAGCAATTTTCAGGTGTGTATATATGTTTTTTTATATGTGAAAATGAAAAACCAAAAGAGAAGAAGTCCTTATCAAACTCATTATCATGACAATTCAATTAAAGCTGTGGTGGTAATGTGTGAGTACAGCAGTATCTGCGTGTGAGATGATAATAAAATTAACATTCGCTTGCATTTAACAAAATGCAAACAATTTATGTTCATTGTTATATACCAATTTATTTGTTATTGGCACATAACGCAACCGATATATTTACTTGGGCTCAGTCTGCCAGTAAATGCCTTTGAATTGTTGATGTTCCCACATTTTTAGTGGCAATTTAACCTCATTTGTATTTAAATGTTAATAACCACCAAGCTTGTTTGTGTGAATGGAAAGGGTATAGTTGTCTGACAATAAATTAAAGTCCAAGGTATATTTATTTATTACACCTAAAACGTAGGCAACTTGGGCAGTTGGAAAATCCCCGCCCTATATAACACAATTTTTTGACAAAATTTGTTTTTTTTAGTCATCAACGTCCACTTCAAGTGTGATTAAAGCGACCCTCCAACTTTTCGATACTCTTTCTGTAGTATGACCTGTGCTTTGCTTCAAAATAGGCCTCAGTTTCAGCAATTACGTCTTCAGAAAATTGTTTGCAGAGAGCAATTTTTGAGATCTGAGAACAGAAAATAGTAGCTGGTAGCCAAACGTGGATAATACGGTGGTTGCGGAATCAATTCGAAGTTCAATTAATAGATTTTTGCCTTCATTTTCACGGACTAGCGACACCGTGCATTGTCCTGCTGAAACAATAATACTAATGCTATGTAATAGTAGTTGTTGATGATCGTTCCTTTTTCGAAGTAGTTAATAAAAATGTTTCCAAGCTCATCCAAAAATATAGACTAAATAACATTGGCAGCCGACTGTTGCGTTCTTCCACGTTGGTTCAACGTGTACAGTTCACACGGAGAATTGACAATTGGACTTCAGAGTGAAATAATGGGACCATGTTTCATCAAGTTTCATATATCGATGTAAAAGCTCTAGTTTACTACGCTTGAACATCTCCAAAAACTGACCCGAATCATCAACACGTCGGGGTTTTTTGTCAAAAGTGAGCTCGCGTAACACTCACTTTGTACAGAGCTTTCTCATACCCAAATGACCCATTCGGACCAGAACTTAAGTGACAGATCTATGCAAACTAGACATTGAGAAAAAGGGTCTTAGAGTGCCTGCTATCTTCGAAAACTGCTCTTTACAGTTATTCAAAACCATTCTGTGGACTGTTTTAATGCTTTTGTCGATAAGACGGCGTCCACTGTCGTTACGTCTAAACGTAAAATGCCAATTCTTGATGGTTGATTTTCTTGGAGCAGTGTCCAGAAACTCGTCATTAAGCCTAGTTTTACTTCAATTATACTTTTTCCCTTCAAAAAGCAATATTTTTTCAACATATAGTACTTTATAATCTATTTTTTCACAATAACAAAAGTTGCTTCATTCAAAATGATATAATTCACAAACTAACGATCTGACGCTTCTCATATTTATACTCTCCTTTTGAAGGCTAGTGCTAACTAAAAATCATATGGATCACCGTCTATGCATCAGATGGGAAACTTTTAAATTGACGTGTTATATTCTCATTGGAAAGCCATCAGTAACTTCACAGATATTTAT